AGGGCAAACCTCCTTCCCGTTCCTATTTTCACACTGATGAGAACTGGATCTATCAGAATCCAGGTTGGTCCGAGAACGGCTTTACTACAAACCCTGGATCCCTGGATCTCACTGGCACATCATTGATGCAGATTAGGCCTCAGTTCTCTGTGACCCTAATGCACACTTCAAACTGCCAGTGTTGAGGTCCCAGCAAGTTCATACTAGGATGTGAAATCACAAACGTCAGAATTAAAGATGAGAAGCGTGTCCTCCAGCAAGGAGGTCACTCAAACTACCATGTGTCACGCTTCACCAAAGCTCAGACAACATCAATTGTAACGGACATAATTATTTTATGCCATTAGGAAAGGAAAAGAATCCTTAATAATTTAGACTCCTACAATTGTAAGAAAGAAACATTTAAATGTGAAGAAATGTGCATTTCATGATCAGGAAGAAAAATGGTTTAAAAATTGTTTTGTTTTTTTTTTTAATTTTTTTTTTCAACGTTTATTTATTTTTGGGACAGAGAGAGACAGAGCATAAACGGGGGAGGGGCAGAGAGAGAGGGAGACACAGAATCAGAAACAGGCTCCAGGCTCTGAGCCATCAGCCCAGAGCCTGACGCGGGGCTCGAACTCACGGACCGCGAGATCGTGACCTGGCTGAAGTCGGGACGCTTAACCGACTGCGCCACCCAGGCGCCCCTAAAAATTGTTTTTTAAAGTTTGAAAAATAATAAGATAGAGGTAATAATTAATAAACGAAAACAATGTAGCAGGACCTTTCTATGTATCTGTCATGACCCAACATGCTCCAAAAAATGACACAGGAAAAATTATCCCATGTGATCCATAGAAGCAATCCTAAAAGATGCTTGCTCTAACACATTTAACCTCTTCATTTAAAGAAAAGCATTTTTAACTCTGACAGAAGCCCAAAAAGTAGCAAAAAGTAGAATTGTATAGAAAATCAAATGAGAAGTTCAAGAGATCAGTACGTGAAGAAGCCACAAACCAATTCTAGATGTATTAACATGCCTCCCAAAGTCTCTTCCGTGTAGGAAAATTTATTTTAGGACTAAAATACCAAGAACAATCATGCTTTGTTTAGAAACGGGTGCTGGTGACACCGATTAGGAAGTAACAACATTCTGAATAGTTGGGCAGGTTTCTTGAGGCAGGAGTTTGAAACCTTTTTCTGTCAAGGGCCACACAGGAAATAGTCCCAGCTTCATGGACCACTCAGCTCTCCTGCCGTAACACGGGAGCTGCCCCAGACAGTCTACACACAACCCGGTGTGGCCCACGCTCCTATAATACTTTCCTTATAAAAACGGGAGGCAGCCCAGTTTTGCTCCAGGGACCATGGTTTGCAAACCTGTGCCTTAGAAGACAAATAAAGCTGAGATTGTCTTACAAATAAACACATTGGGTCAAACATATCTAACAGTTTAGCTCTTCCACCTGTAGGAGAATCTAGAGTCCTTCTGGGCCTCAACGTTTAGGAAAGTTTAAGGTCATGAAAATAGGGAGCCTGTATACACGCTTAGTAAGTCGCTGATAACCGAGAGGAAGGCAGCATTGTGTCAGGTGTGCCTCAGTGAGTGAGTAAGTAGCCTCCAAAATGCCACAACAGGGGTCAGTCCATCAGGATTCAGTCTACCTCAACATAACAGTCAGCCATACTGCAAAAGACAAAGGAAACATATACAGAGCTGTACAAGTGACCAACGGAACTGAAATCGAACAGCGAGGCTCAAGTTATTTGGCTGTCAGGATGAGGCGCGCCCACAGAGGGCTCACATTAACCGGTTCCCTACCTTTCCCGCCTCTTGAGTTTCAATTAACCTCTCCTGCCAGACTAGGAATCACCATTTGTACAGGAGTCCCATTTTAACAAACTGCATTTGGTTCAGAAGGCCTCATGATTGCTTCAGAGGGAACAGTTATCACAGAAGCGTGCTGTCACATTAAGAGTTTCCAGGGACAGAGGTTTCAGATGACCTTCAGTTCTATCTTCCTTCTCGGATATCAGAAGTAACAGTGTCAACCCAGAGTCACGGAGAGTAGGGGGTAATGTGTTTATGAAGCAAACAGCGTGCTACATCTTGTTCCCCAAGATCCTACAACAGCATATTTTAACTCCTGTGGATGTATGGTTTATGCGAAGCACAAAATACAAAATATAAGTAGGTGTGTGTGTTAGGGAACATACAAGACACTGCCTCAGCTCATCACCTTTGTTTTACTCCTGATGACTCTGCTCTGCTCTACGCTTCAAGGGGCCTGAACCATTTCAGTGTATTTGCTTCTTGGAATAGATACACCTTAGAGTGAGCCCCACAGAGTCACAACCTCTCCTGATGTCTGCATGTGTGTGTGTGTGTGTGTGTGTGTGTTTGGGGATGAAGGGCTGCTGACTCGCTTCTAACCAGTAGAATACAGAAAAGTGGAATGGATGTCACTCCTGAAAATATGCTGTGTTATATGAGACTTGGTTACAGCAGACTGGAGATCAGGCTTCTCCTGCTGGAGAAGAGCCACGTTGTGACCTGCCTGGGGCGGGGGGGCACACGTGAGGGACCTGTAGGCTACTTACAAGTGCTAAGAGTGGACCCTGGCCAATAGCCATTGAGAAAACGGGACCTCAGTCCTCTAACCATAAGGAAATGGATTCTGCCAACAAGGGCAATGAGCCTGTTAGCAGAGTGTTAGCAGAAGCGGTCGAGCCCCCACACAAGAATGGAACGCGGCGAACACCGTGGTTACAGCCTTTGTGGGGCCCGGAGGCAAAGTATGCATTTGAGTCGTGTCCAAACTCCTGACCCACAGAAACTGTGAGATAATATATGGGTGTTGTTTTAAGCCACTAAGCTTGGGGGTAATTTGTTAGGTACCAGTAGATAACTAATAAGAGATACATTAAATTGAATGCCAGGTCAGCATATGTTTTCCGGAGAAGTCTGGCCTGAATCCCTGAAGAAGCCAAAATGTTTTGGGAAAACGGATGGGTAATATGTCAGCTCCCTTGATGGAGGACAGAAACCATGATTTACGCTACTCTGGAGCATCCCCACCATCCAGAAAAGGGCTGGCGACAAAGACATATGAAGCTTCTTCTTCCATCCGATGTGACACTACATCATTAGCTTCGCTGTGAGTGTCCTTACAGAGCAATTGGCTAAAAAAACTTTGCATATCTGCCAATTGTATGTATTATTCAGGCATTTTCATGTTTGCGATTACAAAATGCTTCCAAAGACTTAGTTGACAGCAATCCTCGGGTCTGAAGTGCTTCTGGCAACACAGACGTCAGTCCGTAAGAGTTTGCAAACCGCCAATATTCCAAGCAGTCACAAAATGTTGAGTACGACTTTTGGAGCAAAACCAAAGCGAGATTAGGAAGACCTCATATTGATCATGTTCGTAATTGAGAAACTTCCATTCCACTTTTCCCAAACAACGCCGAACACTCTCCTGGGAGAACCCAATTACACCACCACCCTTCATAGTTGTCCGAGGCGTGCCCAGCCCCAGCTGCACCTGGACACAGGGAAAAGTGTCAGACTTGGTCTTTCTACCTAGAGTTGGGGAGCCATCCGACTTGATGAGCCCCAGCCTCCCAGTGCTTCCGCACATGACTCTCATGGACTTGCTATGTGCCTTCTCTTATCTCCACGTTTACCGGGAAGGCCAAGGATATCAGGGGACTGTGGAGATACTTTATCCCCCATAAAATTGATGGAGATCTTATTAGCCCAACTCCACATTCATATTCTCAGAATAGAATCTGCGCACCATCCAAGGGGACACACAGGCAATGGGACCATGCAAACACCTCACGCGGGGGAAGGCTGGACCACTAGGTCTCTCTGGAGGAGCTCAGAAGAGCTCCCTATCGGCCTCCAGTTCTGTTCAGAGAAGCCCGGTAACATCATGTCACTCTAATGCTATGGGGCGTGTCTTCTGGTTGGCTCCCCACAGCTCCCTACAGAGCTTCTTGGATTGCCACAGTAGACTCCCCAAACACTGCTCTGCACAGGCCTTGTGGACTTCCCCCATTCTCCTTTCTTCAAGAGGCCACCATGCACTCAGCCCGACTCCCGCTCCTCCTGGCTATGTCTGAGCACATCCTAGGCTGGGTCAGGCCCCAGACCCCTGGTTTGCTCTGGAGGAGACAGCCCAGTAGAGCAGCTGTCCCCTCGGGAGCATGACTGATGAGTTTAGACAGGAATTTTCCAGGACAATAACACCCTTCATGACCTACCTGAGAGCATAGGGCAAGTAAGATACCTCCCATACAGTCAAAAGTAGGTGAGCCTTCCACCCAGGATAGGGGGTGAACAATGATGTGGAAATGTTGAGCACCACACTACATATAAAATGGGTGTCTTCTCCCACCAGCAGGTAAACTTCAACATCATGCTGACAGTTACTTGCAGAATAGCCCATGAGGGCAGCCTTAGTTTATACCTTTAAGAAGGTTCTAGTCTCCTGGGGTGCCTGGGGGGGTCAGTCAGTTAAGCGTCCGACTTCAGCTCAGGCCAAGATCTTACAGTTCATGGGTTAGAGCCCCGCATTGGGCTCCGTGTTGACAATTCAAAGCCTGGAGCCTGCTTCGGATGTTGTGTCTCCCTCTCTCTCTGCCCCTCCCCTGCTTCCATTCTGTCTCTGTCTCTCTCAAAAATAACATTTGAAAAAAAATTCTTTTAAAAAGGCTCATAGCATATGTAGTAAAAGCTATTCTTGTGTGTCTGATTAACCAATAATGGAAGCAGGGGGTCGCTAGGTTTTAAGAAATCTCAATAATGTTTTTCTTTTTTACGTGAACACACACACACACACACACGCACACACGCACACGGAAACACACACAGAAACACACACGCACATCGCCGAAGTAAACTGGTCTCCCCGACCTGCAGAAGAACGCGGGTGCCCTTCCATACCAGTGATCCCCACGGAGATTTACACCGCGTGCTACGGTTCCCCTGATGGACACGGGCGTGGTCTTACCTCGCAGAGGCTGTGGCACTGCTCCTTCTGTAGGTCCCAGGTGTCCTTGCACGGCTCCAGACACTGGGAGAGAGCAACAAGAAGAGTCAATAAACAAACGGACAGGAACAAGGCCAAAGGAAGAAACCCCGTGCGCCTCACTTTTCCATGTCTGCTCGTCTGCTTTGTTTAGCAAAGCCAGCTCCTCAGTGGATCGCATCAACGTTGTATGAGCAGGGCCATCCCTACAGAACAGGAACCAACACAACCGGAGAAGAGTTGCCCCGTCTGCAGGTGCCATGTAGGGAAAGTAGTGGTGCCCACCACCAGGCAGAACACTATTTAGATGACAAGTATTTGTATTCAGTAAGAAAGGTTCTCTAGGGGCTCCTGCCTGGCTTGGGTCAGTGGGGCGCACAGCTCTTGATCTCGGGGCTGTGAGTCTGAGTCCCACGTTGGATGGAGACATCCCTTAAAAACGAAGTCTTTAAAAAAAAGGACAGAAGAAATGTTTTCTACAGGTTGTTGTCACAGATGAATTTTGTTTTTTCATAAACTCTACCATGGACTTGTTTTCAACCGGCAACATGGGCCTGTTTTCTCTATTTCTTTTAAAAAAATTTTTTTTAATGTTTATTTATTTTTGAGACAGAGAGAGACAGAGCATGAACAGGGGAGGGGCAGAGAGAGAGGGAGACACAGATTCCGAAACAGGCTCCAGGCTCTGAGCAGTCACCACAGAGCCCGACGCGGGGCTCGAACTCACGGACTGGGAGATCATGACCTGAGCCGAAGTCGGATGCTTAACCAACCGAGCCACCCAGGTGCCCCTTTTTTCTCTATTTCTATATATTCTCCCGCACGTGACTGGGTGAAGTTTCAGTGTGTTAAATATATGTAATAGGTACTTGTTAACTAATGCCTTCAGCTCAATGGGTCTACCAGTATGAACACGTATCCAGTTTAATTACTTTGCCAAAATGCATTGAATACACTGTAACATAAAGACTTATGAAATAAATATAAAGAATATATAAATTCAACCTAAAAATATTAAAAAACTATTCAGAATACAGAATAAAGCCTGAATATACGTATAAAATCTGTCACCATATATATATTTAAACACATCAGAGGTGATGGCTAGGCTCCACTGTTCAATAACAGCCATCATAATAAATATTAATAATAATAATGTACAGCACGTATAATAGTATATATTATATATAAAATGTATGCATATTTATATAAGTAACAATAAAGATTATGGGATAAAGTATATATACATGTATAATATAGTTTACTACTATATATAACACTAGTATAATATATAAGTTATAGTACTATGTATATTACATGTATACTACATACCTTATATATACTATACCATGGATCTATGTATCTATACGCACGCACACACACACACACACACACACACATTTATGTATACTGCAGCACTATATATACACTACATATACCACATAAAATACAGTACTATAAATAATATATAATACTATATACACTCTATATAACATACAGTAATACATAAGAGATAACACCCAGTCCTCATGGTTGAAATTAAAATGTTACATTAACACAGTGGAGATTTGATTCTCAACTTTATGTTCTAAAGCAAGTTTTAATTAGTAAAAATTAACAGCCTAGGTGGCTTAGTTAGTTGAGTGTCTGACTCTTGATTTCGGCTCAGGTCACGATCTCAGGGGCTAGAGATTAAGCCCCGCAGTGGGCTCTGTGCTGGGCATTGCACCTGCTTCGGATTCTCTGTCTCTCCCTGTCCCTCTGCCCTTCCACTGGCTCACACGTTCACACGTGTTCTCTCTCAAAAAAATTAACAGTTATGTAGCTAAATGTCAGTCATCTAAATACCCAGGCACCCATAAGGTCCTTATTATTTTATCTATGATCATTATTTCATTATTGACCAAGTTTTCAATTAAGGTCAAAATTCTCAGTTAAATTCCAGATATGCATACTCTAGAACTCAGGATACACACTGAAAGTGTTTTTTCACTGTCCTTGGTAGTCACCTCCCCCTCTATTTTTAAAATAAAGATCTAGTTTGGCGGCACCTGGGTGGTTCAGTCCGATAAGCGTCCACCTCTTGATTTAGGCGCAGGTCATGATCTCAGGGTTCATGAGTTTGAGCCCCACATCGAGCTCGGTGCTGACCACACACAGCCTCCACAGATCCTCTGTCCCCGTCTCTCCCTGCCCCTCACCCACTTGCTCTCTGTCACTCTCTATCAAAAATAAACACTTATAAATAAATAAATAAATAAATAAATAAATAAATAAATAAATAAATAAATAAAGTTAGACCGTAAGACTCCATGGTAACACTTAATTTTCAGGTATCCATTGTCTTTTTCTTTTATATATACATATGAAAACAAAGTGCTGTCCATGTGTCAACTATCAGTCTGTCATGATAAAAGTGCTCAAACTGTCATCACTGGCTGATAACATGAACTTCATCTTGTAGTTTATCAGAAATGCAAATTCACAGCCTCTGCCCCTAGGCTTAGAGTCAGAATGTCTGGGATGGGGACCCAGAAATCCCTTGTAACAAATTCTCCTGGGAAATTCTGAAGTTTACTAAACTTTAAAAAGAACTGCCTTATTGTGGTATACCTTTCTCAAGAGATACCTGTATCAAATCAGCACATTGTGGGGCGCCTGGGTGGCTCAGTTGGTTGAGCGTCCGACTTCGGCCCAGGTCATGATCTCGCAGTTTGTGAGTTTGAGCCCTGCATTGGGCTCTGTGCTGACAGCTCAGAGCCTGGAGCCTACTTCAGATTCTATGTCTCCCCCTCTCTCTATCTCTCTATCCCTCCCCTGCTCACGCTCTGTATCTCTCTGTCACTCGATAATAAATAAACGTTAAAAAAAGTTAAAAAGAAATCAGCACATTGTACAACTTAAACTTCTACAACACTGTGAATCAAATCTCAATAAAACTAGGGGAGCAAAAAGAACGGCTACAGGATTCGATGGAAAAAAAGAGTTCACAATGTCTCTTGTTTTGGTTTTTAAGAAAAACCTATTTCTTGTAAGAATATTTTATATTCTTTAGTGTTGCATAGGAACAATTCATTTTTCAGTTATCTCAATTTTATTTTTTTTTACTTTATTTTTTTTAACGTTTATTTATTATTAAGAGACAGAGAGACA